TTGGTCTTTTCATGGTGTCCCAGATTTCTTGAGCATTTTGTGTTATGAGTTTTTTGCTTTGTTATTTTCTTTGACTGATGAAATCATTTCCCCTATTGTATCCTCTACACCAGAGATCCTCTCTTCCATCTCTTGTATTCTGTTGGTTATGCTTGCATCTGTGTTTCCTGTTCATTTACTCAGATTTTCTATTTCTAGCATTCCCTCTGATTGTGTCTTCTTCATTGTTTCTATTTCTTTTTTCAGGTCTTGAACTGTTTCCCTCACCTGTTTCATTGCTTTTTCCTGGTTTTCTTTAAGAGATTTATTGCTTTCTCCCAATTTTTATTTATCTTTTCCTCTATTTCTTTATAGATTTCTTTCCATTTTTTGTTAGACTTTTTCTCAATTTCTTTGTTGATTTCCTCCACTTTTTTGTTCATCTTTTCCTCAATTCCATTTTTCATTTTTTTAAAGGCCTCTAGCATCTTCATGATGCTATTCTTTTTTTTTTTTTTTTTTTTTTTTGGTTTTTCGAGACAGGGTTTCTCTGTGTAGCTTTGCGCCTTTCCTGGAACTCACTTGGTAGTCCAGGCTGGCCTCGAACTCACAGAGATCCGCCTGGCTCTGCCTCCCGAGTGCTGGGATTAAAGGCGTGCGCCACCACCGCCCGGCCATGATGCTATTCTTGAGGTTGCTTTCTTCTGCTTCTTCTACCTTGTGATGTTCAGGTCTTGCTGTTGGAGGAGAGCTAGGGTCTGGTGATGCTGTATTGCTCTTTATGTTGTTGTATGTGCTTCTGCCTTGACGTCTGCCCATCTCCTTGTAGATTCATTCTTGGTCTTATCAGGGCTCTTGGTCCATTCAGAGCTGACATATTCTGTATTTCAAGAAGCCTCTCTTGGTCCAATGACAGCTCTTTGTCCAATGAGAGCTCTCTCTCTCTAGGCCCAATGAGAGCTCTTTCTCTGGGCCAGATCGGGTCTTGGGCAGTTGGGTGTGGGCAATTGGGTGTTGGGGAAGGAAGTGTAGATTTCAGGGTCCACTGGGGCGGTCTTGAAGAAGGGGAACCTTCCTGCAGGAGCCAACCCAGCTGGCAAGCAACTGGGGCCGAGTTGGGCTGCTATTCCCGGGGAAAGGCTGGGACCCAGGAGTGGCTCCTAGGGGCAGGCCTCCCTGGGTATGAACAGAGTCACTCACCTCTGGGCTGGATGGGAGCTGGGGATTGTTTTCCAGTCCTCAGGAAGTGGCAGGGGTCTTGGGCTGATGGGTGTGGGGGCAGGGCATGGAGATTGCAGGGTCTGTTGGAGAGTCTTGGAGAAGGCTAACTCCTTATTCTGATCAATAACCAATTGTTTCCCTTTGATTCGTGTGAGAATGAATCAGAGCACGAATGACCAGGAACAGAAAGTTGGATTTTACAGCATGTCCATAGCTATAGCACTTTAGCATTTTTTTAAATTTCTGAGCTTTTACAGCTGTGTCACCCACACCTGTTCATCAGCAAATATTTTTAGTGTGTTGACTTTGCTAAGGCTCTATAAGACATCTCTGCTTTTCATAAATACCACAGCTGTTCATTCATGTTCATCATGTTTTACAAAGGAAAGAAACAGCAAGTGAATCCATATGGGTGCATTAACTGTGTCTCTTGGCTTTCATCTACCTGCAAGAGTGAAGTTTAGTCCCTCTGCTTGTCTTACTGGCAACCTGCAATATTTACGTTCAATGAAGCCAACATATAAGCCTGAATATAGGCCTGTATCCGTTTGCTTTTGTCTTCTGCTGCCCGTGCCTGTGACTTGTAGCAGCCAATGGGTTTCTCCATTCCTTTCACTGTTTTAGTTCTTTTATCAGATATTTGGATACATTCTTTGACCTGTTCCAAGTACTAAATAACAGTAATTGCCCACAATGCTCTGTCTCCAGAGCGACTATTCAATAATTTTCCTCAAGCAATAAAAAAGTATGAAAAGTCTGAATAGCAGTATCTCTAGTAAGGATATGTACAGCCTGAGAATTAAAGTTTTATCCTATTTTATCTGAAGTAGACATGTGTTTAACACAGACTCCCTTCCTTATTGGCAGAACTGTATGCCTCTTTAAATATTTTCTATTAATTAATTAGTCGTGTAAAATCATGCTGAAATCTGGTATTTTATAGCCTTCATGTGAAATCTAGAAGCTTATTTTCATATTAAGAATTGATTCTGTTCAATAATCTTTTAGCACAAGTACCATATATATTGTAATATTACAATGACTAAGTACATCCTTGAGCCCAGATCCATTTTCATTAACTCTGTAGTTCCATATGAATACAGTCATCTCAAAGAGTACAGTTTTCTATAAAATATAAGTCTAGGTTTTGGGTGTCAATGTCCATATATAATGGCTACTAAATAGTTGAAGAGAAAAACAAACCAACAAACAAAACCCAAAACAACAAACAACAACAACTACAACAAAACCCAAAGAAACCTACAAACAAAAACAAACCAAATAGTGGAATGACAATATAATAGGTTGTAAAAAAGGTTTAGAAAATTGAAAAATTACTTATGTATGCTATGAGCAAATAAGGAAATGATGTAGGAAATCAGGGCTGGGGTTCTTGAGATTGAGTTGAAGCAAAGCTACTGATTGAATATTTTGATTGAATATATTGCTAAATAAAGCTGCAAATAGGGACATAATATGTATATTATCACAAAGTATGTCCCCAAATATTCTCCAGACTAGAGAGGTTTTGAACAAAAAGGGCATAACCTTGTGTACTATTCTTTGCAACACGTGACTTCTATCTAATCATAAGGCAGTAAAAATAACAACAGTAAAGTCTAACTGAGAGATTTACTCACCAGTGACCTTCAAAAGAATTGAGGTTTTGAAGAATTAGAACAAATTATATTGTAGCTAGAACAAAATAAATGAAGAAAAGTTAATTACTATGCCAGTGAGTCTTCAAATAGTAAATTCATGCTGGAAGAAGCTGGTAGAATCAGCCAAGATCTAACTTCTAGTCAAGGATTTGACAAAGCTTAGTTTTATTGTTTGTTTGTTTTGTTTTTTCGAGACAGGGTTTCTCTGTGTAGCTTTTGCGCCTTTCCTGGAACTTGCTTTGTAGACCAGGCTGGGCTCGAACTCACAGAGATCCTCCTGACTCTGCTGCCCGAGTGCTAGGATTAAAGGCATGCGCCACCACTACCCTGCTGACAAAGCTTAGTTTTAATAAATGCTTTATCAATATACATCATATTAAAAAGGGTCACTGAGCAAATGATGAATGGCAACTTTGTTCCATTTTATTTGCAAGTACTGTTTAAAAATACACACAGGTAGACGACACAGATAGGGTAAGCTTTGTAAAGAACTTGAACTACAGCTATGTAGGACACAGAGGACAGATGAATTTCAGAGTATAGTAAATGAATTTAACTGTTTCACAAATGATTGACTTAAATGAAGGTATAAACAGAGTAGGATGGATCTGACCCAAACCTACTTGATTAAACATTTGGAAGAAACCAGCAGTGAATAAATATATGGACATTGGAGACTACACATTCAAAATTTTAATAGAGTTGTTTAAAAAGCTTTTGAAATTGGCTAAAAACTATTCAAATATCTTACTACATTTTGAATGTTTATTTCAATTGCATTAAAGTTTGATCAATTTCATCTACAGTTTCAAAGATAAGAGGATAGATTCATTTAGGTATTTCCCTACTCTTTTAACTTTGTAAGCTTAGGGATGATTAAGTTATGAGATCTGAACTTTGGTAAATGGAGTTGATGACATGTGGGGGAACTTGTCTCTTCTTTTGTTACTTTGTCACATAAGATCATAGCAAAGTGTGACATCCAAAAAGCAGAGAGCTTCACAAAATAGAATCTGCAGGCACTTCCATATTGCACCTCCTAGATGCTAGGAAGCCCTTGTACATATAGATTGTCCAATTACAGTTATTTTTTTCTAGCATAACAGATAGTCTTGCTCAATGTGTTTGAATGTTGCCCTTTTTAATTTGGAACTAAATGTTTCAAATTCTAATGTAGCACCTAAGATAAAACATAAAATTAAGAAGTACAAAAATTATTAAAAGGAATAAAATACTATTATATTGCTCAAGATAATGGAAAAAATGAAAACAACCGATTTTATTAGAACAAACAAAATTAGTACAGTAGAAATTATTCATATAATTGTACACATTAATAAGCAAAGAACACTGAAATATCAGACTGAAAAAATAAAAAAAAAAACATATGTGAAAGTAAAACCCAAATAAATGTTGTTCAGTAAAACTTAATTTCAATAGAGTATAGATGGATAAGAATGTAGATAGGCAGACAGACAGATAGATAGCTAGACAGACAGACAAATATATGGGCTGGGAAGATGGCTTAGTAGATAGGTGAATTGTGTACAGGCCTCAAGACCTGAGGTTAATCCCTGGATCCCACATGTTGGCAAGAGAGAACTGAATTGTCCTTTAACTCCTGAATTTACACTGTCAGACATGCATGTGCACACACACAGAGACACACACACACATACACACACAAATGATAAATAAATTAAATAATTCAAATGTGAAATACAAAATGAAATATTAAAATCATTTAAATATTATGGAACGAATACTGCCTTATCTATCTATCTATCTATCTATCTATCTATCTATCTATCTATTAACGTCATAGCAGTTTTTAGTCTTTATGTTTCATTCAACTTTACTTAGGGTTGAACACACATGAAATGTGCTTTAATGCATAAGAATCACAGTGGATAGCAGCAAAGGACTATGGGGGCATTAAGGAGAATCTGGTCATTCACATTGTGATTATTCTGTACATTAAAGAAAGATAACTCACACTTCTAGATCCTCAAGACTCAAGACAACCCTTTCCAAAGAATCAAAATAAACTCAAAACACCTTGCAGACACTTCCCCACCCCTGAACAAATTGATGACCCTTTCAGACATAAAAACTAAAATAGTTATGGCAGCAAAGACTTCAATGGCGATGTAAGTCTGTAAACTGTACTCCAGTCTTGTTTCTGAACCCCAAAGTGCAAGAAGCAGGGATCATAATCTCCCAGTAGTGCTTCTCCTGCAAATAATCCTTCATCTTGTTTGGCAGAGGCAGTTTCTGAATCAGGCTTATTCTGGTGTACTGACGTATGACGAAGCGGCACAGGTACTGCAGGGAGCACACCTGCATGAACCGGGACACTGGGTTTGTCAGTCTGACCCAGTAAGTCGCAGATCCAGGCAACCGCGACCATGAATAACAAAATGCTCCGTTTTCAGAGTCCCTGATTGAATGCTCAATTAAGTCAGCTATAGATGTATATTCTAAGTGTGAAGTGTTTTACCATGGGAACGAAAGCTCAGGCTTAAAAGGTAACGGTCATCGGAACCATCCCGAACAAGAAAAGAATCATCGGGCACGTTTGCCAGCCTCCCCTCTGCCTCCCAGCGTGTGATAGGACCCCAATACCACCCCTGTTTTGCAAGCTTCTTCAGCTCCTCCGTAAGACTTGTCACAACCATGGGCCCACTGCTCTCCACGGAGTCATAAACTCTTGAAACCCCCGGTGCAGAGTTGGGATCGAAATTCAAATGACAGCTTACGCTTTCGGCCATGTGCATGTCCGGGCCTGAGAGGCCGCTGAAGTTCCTTTGGATTGGGTTATTCTGCATTGGAGGTAGCACTGGTGAGAGGGGAGGGGCATCGTCATGACCTGCTCTAGGGTTCTGCAACATGACTCCTGTGGTGCCAATCAACACGCTGTTCACTGAAGAATCCACAAGGATCTCTGGGGCTACAACCAGGTCCTGGTCCACCTGACTGTCGTCTTCAGAGAAGGCGCTGGCCCCTGGCAGCACGGCCGACACCTCCATAGGCGAGGACGTGTCCAGGCAGCAGTTGCGCGGCCTTTCTAGAGGGCACATCCCGTCTTCTAAAGACACGGTGTACTGAAGGTAGTCCTGAGACATGAGTCCGGTAACTACAGGCACGTGTTCCTCCAGATGGAGGCGCAGGTCCCCGGGCGAACCAGGGCTGCAGCGGGACTCAGGGCGTGGCTCTGGCTGCAGGTCCCTTAGCTCCCTGGGCTGCAGGTCCCGCAGCTCCTTGGGTTGCAGCTCCCGCAGCTCCTTGCGCACACCATTGACAGGGCCTGGGCTGGCAGCATGCACCAGGGCCTTCACCCGCATCTCCATCTTGATGCATGTCTTCTCCGAGCTGGTGGGCCTCAGCGGCCAGGGTGTGGGACTGTAGTGGTGGCTGCGCAGTGATGTAGAACAGATGGGCCGTGGGGCACGCACGTCCTTGAGGCCCCCGGGCGCTGAAGCCGAGGAGAAGGTGTCCTTGTCTGTGGGTGCAGTCCCGCCCTTGCCCTTGCCCTTCTGCTTGGGGGACAGTCGCCTCTTCAAGGTGCCCATCAGGCTTTCGCTTTGGGACCTGTTCTTCCCTTTCTCCTCCTCACTGCCAATGTCACAGCTGGCCATGTCCTTGCCATAGCAGCTCCCGAATAAGGAGTCATCTTTCACAAAGTCACCAGCGACGGACTGGGGCTGAACCACCATGAACTCGGTTTTGTCTTTGCTTTTACTCAGGTTGAAAGATTTCCGGAAGGTTTTCAAACTAATTGTCTTCATTGTGACTAGTTACCTAATCCAAACGGGTCAGTTTCTCTCTGGAGCAGCTATCCCCAAACATCAAGAGGGGGTGTGATGCTTCATGGATGAACTCTGCCCAGCTTCATTTAACCTCTGGAGTTATTTTCCTGCGGCCGCCAGCTCCGTTTCCTGCCTTATCCATATTAATAATAGGAAATTAAGACAAGAACAAACCCTGTCTCGAAAAACCAAAAAAAAAAAAAAAAAAAAAAAAAGAAAAGACAAGAACAAGAGCTATTACTGGTGATAAAAATACATTGCTCTCATAGTTTGGATGTAAAATAACTCACCACAGGCTTGTATGTTCTAGTATTTCTTCCCTAGGAGCAGTGCTATGTTGTAAAGTTGTGGAACTTTGAAGGGCAGGGCCCTGTAAAATAAGCATGTAGATGTGTCTTGCTGCTTATACCCTGGACTCAGGTCCAGACTTTCTGTTTGCTGGTCCTCTGAGATGTAAGAAAATTTCTCCCACCAAGACTTCCCCAAAACTCTGATTGTATCCTTTCAAACTCTCAGCCAAAATCAATCCTATATCCTTCAAGTTGCTTTTTCTGAAATTGTTCTTGTCACATCAACTGGAAAAGTAGTAATAAATTTCAGATTATCAGAGGAAAGAATAAATGATGAAACAGTAAAATTTGACATGCATATGTACTTAACAGGAATGTTTTTAATACATTATTATATTCACTGTAGATAACGTTATGCATGATTACCAGCTTTCCTGAATGCATATGTTCCTTATCCAGTTGAGCATAATTCTCCAATGGAGGTAAATGAAGCAAGAATTTCAAATTAGTTTAGATTATTTTCATTGTGGGTTTAGGAAGAAAGCACTTTCCAGTTGTTTATATCTGGGACCAAAATTCAAGAGTGGAAAATCCTAACTTTTCAAAGATATTATGCCAATTAAGAACATACATTAGGCCGGGCAACGGTGGCGCACACCTTTAATCCCAGCACTCGGGAGGCAGAGCCAGGCAGATCTCTGTGAGTTTGAGGATAGCCTGGGCTACAGAGTGAGTTCCAGGAAAGGCACAAAGCTACACAGAGAAACACTGTCTTGAAAAACAAACAAACAAATAAAAAAGAACATACATTAGTTGCTAGAGATATTAGAAGTATTTTAGAAATATTTAAATAGTTTTGCAATGGTAAACTACACTATTCCTCAACTACAATAGCCTTATTAACTTGATTGCTTCAAAGATTAAAAAAAGAAAAATTATCCTCTCTCCCAAATAATGGGAGCTATAAATATTATGAATCTTAGTATTGTGTAATTATGTGGAATATCTGGTAGAAAATATTCATTTTAAATGCAAACATAATTGAATTACGCTTAATTTTCTAATAACTGAAAATCTATATAGTGGTAGTCTCCAAAGTAAAAGCCCAGAATTCCAAAGGCTATTGACTTAATTTCCTAAATCTCTAATTATATTCGTGTACTCCAATAGTAAATTTAATTCTAAAAATATAATTCTGTTTTCCACAAAATGATGATATAGTTGAAAAGTAGGAATCATGATTACACTAAAAAAAAGTTACACATTTATTGTATTAATTCCTAAATGTTAATTTAGAACACTCTAGGTTTTATTAGGAACTTAAATTATCTAGGAGACTTTTAAGGTTAGATTTCAGCATTTCATGAATAAAAGAAATAAGCGAATCTTATTATTTTATGAAAAATATCACCCTAGGTAATACTTTGTTCATTCCTGGAATAAACTAAGATAAACATGGTATGGGGTTGACTTCACAAACTCATCTACAGGGCATAATCTTAAGGTACTTTCTATTATAATAAGGAGTTCATGCTTTATTTTGGTTAAAATATAAAGGCAAAAAGTTGATAGCAGTCATCCAAAGCTGAAATATGAATTGTTCTTTTAGTAATTTTACAGCCATCTAAGATCTCACAAAACTGACTTACTTTTCTGCTGTAAAACATAGTGCAAATGAATATAGCTGAAACTTTAAACCCATCCTTCTCTGTTGTCTTCTGTGTATACTACATTTATAACAAGGGAATATAATAAGACAAAACACAATAGTTTTGTTCAAATATTTCTCTAAAGGCCATCTTTTCTTTCCCTTTTCTCCAGAATCCCAGTACACCAGCCTCAGGCCCATCACTGCGGAATGTTGTCACCTACATTACACCATATTCTAGTAATTAAACACACAGGTTTGCCCTTGACTCTTCACTGTAATAAAATTGTTCCTGGAATATATCTTCTGAGCCAACAGCTGTTCATCAGGACTTGAACTCTACTGATGGTCTGTAGTCAGCCTGCTATGCATTTCAGGTCCTGGTCAAAATCTTGAAGTCTCTGACATTTTCAACTTTTCTTCACATCTCATATCCAACTTATTAAAATTATGATAATTTTTAGAAATACAAAATATTCCTTAAATTGAACTTATACACATTTTATGAAATATTTAATTTCCTCTTCAGCGTTTTTTCCTCATCACAAGTACTACGGATGATGATCATGATGTTTTCAGGCTTTGGTACTCACATTTCTATTCTCTGTGGAGCAGCTGTAGTCTGATAAAATTAACTATATTACCATTCTCCTGCTCAGTGTTTGTCCGAATGCATGTATGCACACTGAGGGTTCAATGCCCTGGACCTACAGTTGTGGGCCAATGTAAGCCACCTGATGTGAGTGGTGGAACTAAACTCCAGTCCTCTACCAGAGCAGTAAGTGTCCTTACCTACTATGCTGGTTATTTCTTCAGCCCTGGAAGACACGATCTTAAACACGCAAAAATACTCACTTCTACAAGGAATGTATTCCAAGTCAGCAATTCTACTAAAATGCAGAAAAAAAAAAACGAGACAGATAATCTTAGAAAATATTGCAATAATCTGATAAGACCAGTTAGGTAGATCAAAGTTCCAGTAGTTTTTCATTTTTTATTAGAGTCCAATAAGAAGAGACTAACTGGAAATAGTCTGAATTTCCATGGACTGAAATTGACTTAATATATTGAATCATTCATGACCCAGGACTAGTAATGCCTATAGTAGGTGAACCAAAGATATCATTTTAGATCTCAAAATGTTACCACAGATTTTAAGTATAATTTCTGATTAAAATATTCTGACCCAGATAGAGCCAGAGCAATGCGTGTGGAAATTAAAACAAGCAAATAGAGGTCGAAGACTTACAGGTAAAATAGATATTTTAGATTTTACAGACATGTTTAAAATAACATATCTAATGTGATCCAAACAATAAAGGCAATTGTTTTACAGAGTAATGAAGGCAAAAAATATAAACTCATAAAACTCAGATAGGGATTTAGAATAAAATAAAGGAATAAAACTATCTCAAAAATTACTTCCTGATGAAGTTGTAATAATGCAGCAACATAAAGGAATTCACTCTTAAAGTATGGTCTAGTTGTTGGGCATCTACAACTACCTGTAATCCAAGCTCTAGGGGATCTAATACCCTATTCTGTACTCTGTGGGCATCTACAAACACAGATGCATACACACACACACACACACACACACACACACACACACACACACACACACACGCATACACAGGAACAAAATAAAATATATCTTTCAAAAACTACTTCCAAAAGCATATATCATATGTGGAGCCAGGTGATCATGTACCATCGTACCCTGTACTGCCCGATGTCTCTAGGCCTGGGCACTGGAGAGAGGAAACGTAACAGCTCCAGGCCATCCCTTATGGCTGGGGTGGGCAGTATTCAACCAAGTATCACCTGTGACCCAACCAAGAATCACTGTTCTAGTCAGTTGGGCACCATTGTGGTGAGAGAGGACAGGGTGGGGATGGAAGAGAAGGAGAGGTAGAATGGTTTGTGGTTGGGGAGAGAGAAGGATCTAGAGGGTATGATGAGGAACAGGCTGACCTGAGCAGCCAGCTGGCCAACCCAGCCGAGTGAGATGTCTGGGCCCGTGCTATTATGACCAAGGGTCAGGTCTTGATTCGTGGCCCTGGAGCAGTCGAGTGGGTGCTGAACTGATGTCTGTGGCTCCTGTCGTCACTGGGGGCCATGTAGGGGCCTGTAGTTGGGTCACATTGGTGTCTCAGGGCAGCATTGCAGCGAGGCTATGCCAGTCTGGGTGGCCTGCATGACCACTGGGGACTATGGTGACAACCTGGCCTGGGCTGCTGCTGAGGACCATGTCTGGATCCATGGTCCTGATACAGCAGGGGTCTGTGTTGATGTCCCTAGCCCATGTTGCCACCAGGGCACAGGTGAATGCCTGGGCTCTGCCCGGCAACTTGTGATCATGTTGGTGTCTGAGGGCTGTACTGTTGCTGGTGCCAAGCCGATTTGGGTGGCCAGGGTTGTCAGCTGTGGTTATGGTATTGTCTGGACTAGGACTGCAGCTGAGGGCAATGTCTGGGTCTGTGGCCCTGCCACATCAAGGGTCTATGTTCATCTCTGTGGCTTCTGAGACCATCGAAGACCATGCGAATGACTGGAGGTTCTAAGCTGCTACCTGGGACCACGTTGGTATCTGAGAGCCATACCAATCCACATGGCTTGTACTGCCTCCTGGGACCATGGTGACATCTGACCTGGGCTGCTGTCTTAGACTATGACTAGGTCTCTGGCTTTAGTCTGCTTTACATTCTCCCAAAGTTTTCTGCCTTTTTTTGAAAGCTAGCCCTGGCTTAAACAGCACTTCCTCATTCTCACAGTTCTCATTGAAATGAGGTAAATTTTAGTGTCAAGATTTTTTTTTTCAAGTCCTGGCATTTGAAATCAGAACCTCACATTTGCTGGGCAAGAATTCTATCCTGAGCTGTATCCACAGTTGCCTTCCTACTTTTTCTTTTGTGGCAGCAGGGCAGGGTCTCAATAGGTTGTTCAGTCTAGTTTGAACTATGTAACCCAGGCTGGCTTTGAACTTTCTATCCTGCTTCAGCTTCCCAAGTAACTGGGATTACAGGTCTCCATGACATGGC